ATATATATATAAACACAAACTGATATATGCTGCCATAAATTTCCTCATTTCCTCTTCTTAATTTAGATTTTTTTCTAACCCCACATTAAATAACTTTAGACATCTTATCAAGTAAAAACACTGTTTTTAGACTTTTTTTCCCATCTTGAGATGTATTAGAAGAGATAAATTCCTGTGGCAGAACATTAACGTGACTTACATCCAGACACTCATTGCTCCCTATTTAGCTGCATGCTTGACTATTCTGTGGATGTGACTGTGCGGTACGCTGTTAAAAATCCCCCTTGTCCTTGTTAATCTCCTGTGTCTTTCTTATTTATACTGTTCTGTTCACTACCTCATGATAGTTGTCCCTGCCAATGGTTTCTGCTGCTAGTTCTGCAAGCTCCTGGGATGGGTCTGCCCCCGGGGAGATGATGATTAACACCGGCTCCCACTCCATTGTTTCAGTGTAGAGACGACGCAGATTCAGAGGAGGGGGAGAGAGCTTCATACCTGTGGCGAGGAGGAGAAAGAAATGAAATGAGAGTGACGAGTGTGAAAGGTACATCTGTAAAAGCTGGTGTACCCATGTCTAAAGAGATCAGCACAGTATGCAACTGAAAGTCACAGTAAATTGATATACCGCACATATACTGAAAGTTAACACGATGATAAAGAAAAGGTAGAATATAGTAACAAATCAACATGTTGGCAAGTGCTTGTAAAATGAAAAAATAAGAACTTGGTGCATTATAGATTAGATAGATAGGGTAGTAGAAGGGCAGATGAAGTAGGGGGAAAAAAGGGAAAAATGTTGGAGGAAGGGGTGGGGAGGCGAAAGAGGAAGACGCTACAGCAAAAAAAAGAGAGAAATTGGGAGGGTGATGTGATGTGCATATTGAGTGATTGGTTTGCAGCAACAGCAGCATTCACCACACAACACAGAAGAATACCTTTGTCAGCCCCCTGGTGTTAGAAGAGAACAGGCTCTTGTGTGTGCGCGACTGTAAGTGTGTGACAGAGTTTACGTTGCTTGACTGGGACCTGAGTGCTGCTGTAATATATTGATTTTTCATATCAGCTATGAGTCAGAGTATGACATCTAGGCCCACACAGCACCAGAGGCTGTGATACAAATTCCTATGAGATGCTACTTGTGGATATTTTTTTTCTTTTTCCTCACATACACAGAAAGATGCTTGAGTGCACACACACACACACACACACACACACACACACACACACACAC